TGCCATGAACCCTAGCAGTGCACTCACGGGAGAATCAGGAGCCATTCGTGCAATCAGAATCCTATAAGTTTTCGAATTCTCTTTAGCGTCTCTGCCGTCTTTGTTCATTCCGCTCCGACTGCCTTCTCCACGCTCTTTTCAAACAGGAATAGAGAAGGCAATAAGTAGAAGCCAGGTTCTGTTCCAAGTGGTAATAGCAGGCGAATCCGACGACACTTCAGGCTCAAAAGGGCCGAAGACTTCCGTGATTTCACAGTCTCTTTGTTGAGAGGTCAGCCGCCCACCTTCTTCGCTCTTCCTTGATTTCTCCTCTCTAGTATCTTCTCCTGTCTACATTCTCTACACGAATGAAACCAAGGACTCTGTTTATGTTTCAAAGGATAGTTTTACTTCTGTGACTTAGGATAAATGAAATGCATTCCCTTTAAAGGAAGCTTATATCTACATGTCGCTTGACTCTGACCTTAATTTCCACGTCTAACACAACCAAGTATAAAATGATTTGAAGATGCTTAGAGGTCCGATGAATGCCTTCCTGTCATTTCACGTGATTCTGCCTTCTATTTGCAGAAAAGCTCCTTCGTTAAACGGAGTATTACAGGCACGTAGAATGAAGGCCATTTGTTACCAGGGAAACGCTAATTACGTGCTTCGTATTTGGGAGGTCACGGGTTCAAATCTCGTCCCAAAAAAATCAGTTATCTTCCCTTAGCCCCTCCGTGCAAATAGCAGGAGGATACCTTAATTTAGGCCATGAAGATTCATTCAATATTCTTTCCAGTACATTATTCATTAATCATCCTATTATTTGACGCTACATACTCCGATCTATGACGTGCTAAGTAGGTACAACCAAAACATGCAGTAAGACACGTAAAAACGTATAATAATGTTGTTTTGTGACACTGGTTAATACACGAGATAATAAAACTATAGTACACCAGTTTGAAGTTCAAAGGAACGACTCCTAATATGTTACGTAAACTGAATTATTATTTACATATTTAGTACAGTTTAATTTCAATATTACGCTATAAGTTCCCTACTGTATCTTTGTGAACACAGTAATAAACCTTCGGGCTCTATAAAAGGCTGGCAATTTATTAGCTGAACAACTATTAGCTTCTCAGGAAGGACTCAGATCTGTTACGCGAAGTTAAACGCCAGAACAAAGTTCACGTAGGCCCAAGTTACACAGGACGGACCTGGCACTGTTCACGCACCATGCACACACTGACTGGTTTTCGAAAGCACAAGCCTTTGATAAAAATCATGGTAAAATACAAATTTCTTTAAAACCAGAATGGTTCAGTGGAGTACAGCGAGGAACTCACAGTGTAATACCATCATTATGCTTGAAATGTTAAACAAAAATTGTCCAATATAAAATTACAAAATGGTGTTTTGCAGTTAGTGACAAATACTTTGCATAACAGAAAACAATAGACTTTATTGTCGCAAGGCCATATAGGAAAGGCAGCTATTTCTTTAACATACGAAATTATTTCAAAATTGGCTTTCCTTTATGAACTGACGCAGACCAAGGTACACGTCAGCACAGCGTATAAACCTCTGCGCCATACACGAATATCGCTGAAGGGTTAACGACAAGGTGAAATAATGTAATCTGAATTTGCAGTTCCGAACACGTTTCAGCTTCCATTTTCATTTAGGCCTAGAGCTCATTCTTTCTGAAAACAATAATTTTATTTATTGCACACATGGAGACCAGAATTCAAACAGCTGCTGGTCTGACTGAGGATTCTCTCAGTTTAAACAAGGAGATACTAGGACGGCACAAAGGATGGTGAGAATTCGCTTCCTTCCAAGTCTATTGGATTCATCATTCATAATCACCGTCACAAGACGCTATGTAAAACACAAACTTGACAAAGCGTATCGAAAAATTCAGTAAACAAGTATATGAAGGAAACGTTTTGTTGTTCTGTTGTGCTTACATTTTTTTTTTTGAACCACAGACATTCAATTTTTATTTTCAGACAGGCAGTTATTATGAAACAAGGGAATATTAGTAGGGATATTCGTATCTCTTTCTCTCGTATGGTCACGAAGTATTGCTTGTGACGTGCAATCCCACTAGAGCGTAATAATAATTAATTAGAGACCGCAGCTACGTACGACTGCAGGTGGGAATGTTTATTTTGACTGCAACCGAAAGGAGATAACGAAATTTTGCACGAGTTTTTTGTTCTGTAATTAATGGTCGAATTTGTAACCAAACTTACTTTTAGTATTAGATTTTAATTTCAACACATACCATGCACTCATATATACACACGTGTATTTAAACACGTGCAATAAAACTACGGTATGCTGTACGGTTTCTCTTATGTAGTTTCATTTCCAGGTTTCAGGAAAGAACACAACCCCATTTTCACCCTCGTTATTAAATCGTAAATTTTAATCTGTCGGTTTCCTGGTACCTACACCCCCTTTCCTCCGCCAAATGAACTACATATCACAGATAATTTAATTTTTATGACGATACAGAATACAAGATTTACATTATAGTGCCTACACACAGGATAACTGGATCATTATTTATTTCAGTCAAGTTAACAAATCTATTTTGTAGCAAAATGCAGTCTAGAGAATCGTGACTCAGAATTATATATACTGGCCATACAACAAAGGAGTTCAATTGTATTATTTATTTATTTAGTGTTCTGTCTGACGACAGGTCCATATGAACAGGATCCTTCGATCCTTTTCTCGGACTGGGACTGGGACCTGTTCATATACGTTCTTGGCAGATGATCCAGAAGTGGTTTGCCATTGCCTTCTTCTGTGTGTGAATGGAGTAATTGTTGGGATGCCACGGAGAAACCGGGGAAGCCCCCGGAGGAAAACTCCGTGTTGCCTAGACCACGGCCTTGCCCAACACAAGTTATAAATTCGGGCACCGCCGGGAATCGAACCCGAGACCCCAGGATTACAAGGCCAGATATAGAATATGAAGGCAAACTGGGATGTTGCACCATGTGGTGTGGTAGAAGTTTACCGATGTTTCAGAAGTGCTTAATGCCTCCATCAACAAGACAATCGTTTCAGAAGTGCTTGATGCCTCCATCAACAAGACTTTATACTCGCTGCCTTGAGAACCTAAAATCTCACATGATAGTATAATGCTGTCACTGCAAATGTTATAATCTCTCACTTATTGTTTCCATACTTCATCAATAAATGCTTCTTCCCAAATCATTAACTAACCTTTCACGACCTGCAAGCATACGAGGCAATGAAGTAAGACACAGGATAATTTCATAAGTTGACACTAAAGGAAAAAGTGACATAAGTGTAGCGTAAGTCATTTTCCTTCCGAGACAAAGCATCTGTTGTATTTTTTATAACAATTAACAATTCAGTGCCCTGAAAGAACAAGAATCCCTGACGTTGAGTCGAGAGAAGGTTAGTTTCAAGGCAACGAATAATAAATTGCAGCTGCTAATTGTTGTCCCCCTGTAGATACATTAGAAGCGGTCATAGACATTAGAAACTGATGTAAAAAATAATTTCAAAGCTAATACTGAAGTGTCTCGCACCGAAAAGATGGAAAGAAACATTAATAAATTTTGAGAGATTTCAGGTTCTCCCGGAGATTAATATGGCCGATGGCGAACCCTAATAATAGATGGTGACAGATGGTTCGTCTCGTTAAGGCTTGGTTTGTGCAAAACGACGGCAAAGCAAATGCTCTCTCAAAAGAAAAACCCTACTCGGTCGTGTTCGCTCCGTTGCTACGCGTGCGCACTGCGTGTTCTGTAAGACGCTAAGTTAAATGAAGCAGACAGTACCTAAAACTGCATTAAAATATACTCGTAGTGGATTCAATCTTTGGGTCGGGAATTTAAACGAAATTTTTGCAATGTGCTATATTGTGTAAAAGCGTGTGTCTAAAAAAAAATCCCTTCTGCTCGGAACAAAAATAAATACGAGCTCTTTCGGCCCCATTTCTTTCTGTCGCGCTGTATTAGACTAACTCTGGATTCTAAACAGCTGACAGAACGATCAACTACTTCCGATAACGTTTCTGTCAGCCAGTCTCTATCTTTCGCATAAGTTTGTTGCACTCTCAAAAAGGCTGAAAACGCCTGGTTCGAGATCTTGAGGTCCTTACGCACTGATCTTAATAACTAGAGTACGTAGGGAATAAGGGACATGTTTCAGGAGGGAGAGTTACGTTTAATTACGGCCATGTGCAGTAACATCAATTACTGGAATCATTGTGAACGTGACCAGCTCTGGAAGAGCTAATGAACGTCTCTCATTGGTCACCGGGCGAATGGTGAGGCAGCGGTTGTTATTGAAGGGGCCTTTGGGGTGGCAGTAGTGAGTGTTATTTGCTGTTTGCAAGTGTCACGTACAGGGCCGTATAACGTCATTTTATGATTATCTACATGCCCTATGGGCTATATGAGGCAGGTGTTTGACTCTTCGCCGGTGATTGGTTTCAGTACAGACGTTCTAATGCAGTGATTACATTGTAGCATCGCCGAACACCTTGACTGCAAATAGCATGTGCCGTGGACGCCTACTTCACACAGAAATTTTATAATTTGACATTGAATGTTGTACAAACAAACAAGTGCTTTATTTGTGACTAATCATAAAGAAACAGCTTCCGTCATACGACTGAATCTGAGGGGATTCAACCACTGGATGTGAGTGGATGTGTCAGAATTGGAGGTCTCTGATCCTTTTCTTCGAAAGGGGTAGAGACCAAAGAAGAGATTTGCAGTTCGGAGTGCAAGACACGAAGAACTGATCCTCCATGACAGCCTTCCTAAGACGTCAGTACAAAATTTTACGTTGTTCACCGACAACCTTTCGGGTATAACACACGGCTTTCTTTTGTTTTTCCCTGCCTCTATTTCAGATAACTCCGCTCACTCACCACCAAGATAAACTGTCAGGTATCGGGCGTTCATGAATTCCATGCAAATCTAAAGCCAATCTGTGCAAGCGATATTAATACTTACGATTCATGTCGAGCGAGACTGGGCTGGAGATCGGAGCTACCAAATTGTTGTTGCTGGCCTGGCATGTGAACACTGTGTGTAGGTGACGTCTTCCTAGTTTCTCGAGGCGAAGAACGTTTTGTACGCGACGATCAGCAACTTGCTCGTAAGAATCGTCCAGCAACGCGTTCTCCTGCCACCACGTCACTCTGGGACTAGGGCGTCCTGTTACAACACAGCGAGATCATTAGATTCGATAGGTCAGGATTAAACTCCACTGTCGATGTCACCGTTCTCCTCGACTCATCGACACTAAAGCCGTGAGTACACCAGCGCAACTGACATCTGTAACAGAACTTGCAGTAAAATGGCGCTGTTTACACCCACGAAACCCAAACGCAACTGGACGGAATCTAAAAAGCATAACACTCTTATACTAAACCTTTGAAGTCAAAGCTCGTTTGTACATAACTTTTCATATGAAGTTGAAGTCGTAGGTGTGTGTTTCTTCGCTTACAGTTCGAGAACGGATATATCGATTTGCACCAAACTTGGCATGCACATTTCAAGAGACGAGGAAAAGACAATACCATCGTTAAAACTGCGGAAAAGTGTCCTAGGTTCGATTTCCACAGACGGCATCTCCTGTTCCATTCCCATTAAAGATGGTTTCAGCCGCTCGGATAATAAGCACGACAGACGAAAGGCGCCAAAGACCAACACTTACCGTCGACTAGCCTCCGACACGGTGCCAGCAAACCGACGCCGAGCGTACGGTGATTCAGAATCCCAAATCTCGTCAAGAATAGCATCTGGATGGCATAAAGTAAACCGACTCAAACTGTCCCGACACCTCAATAGATAACAAACATAGATTAGATAAACCTGGGGATGACATGTGATACCAAGCTGTAAAACAAGATATTGAGCGTCTCGACTCCGATTCCAAAATGCATATAAACATATATAAGCCTCGGAATGCCATGTGCAACGACTGTGACAAAAAGACGCCGAGCGCTGCCACGCCAGTCGTCGCCGGAAAAAGACGCCATTATTACTACAGACGATGCTGACAGAAAACAATTTTTGATCGGTTACACAATGCGACGCTAACGGAAACGAAACAGAAAAACCGATGCCTCTCATTGCTACGCCTTCATGCGACGCCATAGCAACCGCAGGTAAACTTATGGACGCCATTGAAAGCGACGTTGGAAAGCCGACGATGAGCGTCACGACGCCAAATGGCGCCAAAAGTCTCTATGTTTTGGATCGAGGAATGTCAGGACGTCATAAAGCGAGATCAATTTTCAATTGTTATGCAGTATTATATCAAACAATTCACTGTGTGAGATTATTTTGACATTCACAAGTTTCGAAAGCTGGCTTTCCTCGTCTTGGGTCTATAACCGGTTGACAATGCATACATGTCTGAATGATATATTTAAAGTACTCTGTACTAAAACAGAATCCCGAGGATTCTGTCTGTAAAATCTGGACACCTCCTTGCGTAATTTTCTCCACTCCACTTAAAATGCTAAATGAAATCGATATCTGGTATGATCACTAGACATCCAATCGATAATTACTTCTGGTCTGCGATAAAAATTTATTCCGTTGGAAAAGAGGTCTTACGGGATAGAATGGAAAATAAATTCTTGTTTAAAGATATTGAACCATTATTAGATTGATGGTATAGGTTTCCAATACGTTTTTTCGTAAAGCATTAATTCTCACTACCTCCACGTTTTGCATGAGGATAATAGCGTATTACAGACACATTTATCTTATGAGAATACTGGTAGTCAAATATCCAAGAGGAAACCAGATATTACGTGTCAGATTACAATAGGAAATAACTTATAATCTACTGTCACGTCATTGTAGAAACTTCATGCACAGGTGACAACCTAACGGCCACAAATGAGGGCAGAATTCTAACATTTATAAACGTTTAATAACAAGTCAACTGACACAGAAGTTTCAGAAAAGTAAGACTTATTGAATAAATGATCTTGCCGTACATATCCAGTCACTCAGATTCAAAGCGGGTTTGAAAAAACAAAGTATCTATTTGATTTTACATTAATGCTACGGGAACTACAAATAAAATTAACTTTGGTTACTAGAAATAAAAGCAAATAATATTCAAATTTTGAAACAAATAAGGCAGAATTCGAAGTAATCTATTTGGGACGAATGCTTGTGGTCCGAAAGTGAATGTAATGACATGAACAAAGGGACGTTTAAGGCACAGGGCACGGATAAGTCTGTGAGCTCTTACCTCCAGTGGCGATGCAGGTAATATTCACGCTTGAGCCCTCGTTGTACGGACCAAGTATATGGTGTGGAATGTTGGTACCCTTGTCATCCAGAATTATCAGTCTTTCTGGTGGAACTGTAACAAATAACAGGTTTTCCTTAAACGCTTGCATTATTTACTTAATTATAAATTACTGTTTAAAGATTTAAAGCTGAGGTTATCGAAGTACATGAGAAAATATAAACTGATCATATTTATGCAGGGTAGACTGCTGAAATATACACCCGAAAAAAATATACGTATTATGGAAAATTTAAAATCGCATTTACAACAGCCGTAGCCCCACGAAACCTCGTTACTAACAACCAGAAAGTTTTACAGCATACACCATTTACGTATGAATATTAGTCTACGGCACTTTGAGGCTGCAAGAGATGATACCGGTTAGTTTGTGTGTGATGCAAATTTCAGCACCCCATTAAGAAACACCTCAAATACTGATAAAAGCACGCATCCCTATCACACTGAATGCAGCACGCATTGCTTTCTTCATTCTTTATCCATTTAAAACCTCATTGGTAAGAAAATATATATCACCTATTTAACAAATTATAAATATGGATTTTGCCCACGGAATATATTTATGTATTTCGTATGATTCTCATAATAAACATTGATTATTTCCTTAAACAGCATTAGCCAATTTATTTTTGTAATTTGTAAATGATACGTTTTCTTTGCGGGAGGAACAGAATATTTACTATTTATTATTCGGCTTCAAATTGTTAAATGGTAAATACTTCGGTATTTTGCTTTGTTTCTAATTTAGAAACGAAATGGTAATGTCAGTTACTAACGCGTGCATGTGAGTACGTAATTATGTATGCATGTACACAAGAATAAATTAATGCAAACACGAACGGGTCTACGAATGTGAATGAATATAGTGCACAATTAGTGAAAATGGGCTGTTAAGCAAGACTATGTGTAGGTTATACATATTTTTTTCAGTCCGGTTGATTTGTAAAACAAAACATTTTCAATTATCAATGTTAAAAACAAGTATTTCATTCATAATGTATTAATATTTTCAGCCACAAACTGGACAGGTGACGTGTCTCACAATGTCGCCTTCTGTCTCGCTATCCGACACATTGAACCAGGGGATAATATGAATATAAAATGTTATTTCATGTTAAAAACACACACGCGGCACAGTTAAAAACTATTTCTCACTCGATACGAGTGCCTTATAGGAGGCAGAAGATGAATATTCATACATTAGTATGAACAGAGAAGAATGGATTTTGTTGAGTTGCTGGTAAATTTTAAGTTTCATTTCTGAAGCCGTTATAGTATTTGGATGTGTGTTTTGCTTTTGTGTTAGAACTAAATAAACTAAACAAAGATTTGAATGCTCATTACGGTTGCCAAGAGCCCACCATTCTCCTTTTGAAGTACACGCCCCTAATATACGTTATAAATACTAGAGGATGCTAAAAACTGCCCCCAAAAGCAGTAGTGTGGACAGAATGTGGAAACTGAAAATTATATACATGCGTCTTTGGATCGTACAAGTTCTCCGGAGCAGTGCTATTTTCTTAGGCTGTTTCAAACAAACATTCCTTTGCCTAAATGTGGGTGGCGGTGAGAGGGGATGCATTAATTACTCCTGAATCTGCAGAAACAGTATAAAAACAGCCACAAAGTCCCGAGAAAATAGTTTTAAAAACACAGTTTAGGATATAGACATAAGGATAACCCCTTAAATTAAATGTCATATAATTTTTGCCGCTGATGTTTCCCAGTATTCAAAACATCTAAAAGTATCTAGGCGCTATAAACCACAAAATTCAAGTGATTTGTCACGATGATATCTGAATTTGAAAAGAAAAAAAAAATTGCTGAAAGCGGCCAACATAGAAATAAGTTTCCAGTGCGAATATGAGAAGCGATAAGGCTTAAAAGCTCTCTACCCTTGAACTGAGGTGAGAGAGGGAGAGGCAGGGTAGGTCGGGGTGCAGCGAGAATTCAAACGCTAGCAAAGCAAGCTCCAAAGAGCAATTATAGATTAGCTCGACCCGGACAAATTAATGGACAGAAATGAGAAATGGATGCAAGGTGTGAAGGTCGACTCACGAATCGTAAATCAGAATTAGTGAGAGATAACTGGGAACAACGAAGGCTCATGAATCTAACACCGCGTATAAAATTGCAGCGAGAGGGGTGGGGGTGGAGTATGTACAAGGAACTGTAAATGCATACATCTGTAGACCTAACAGACAGGTTACCACGTGCACAAAGGAATTGTAACACAGAAATTCCGACGACTGACTTAGTGTCTGCTCTAGGCGAGGGAAGGAAATTCGGAGTGTAAAGAAGCTACGAAGTCAGTTTCATAACTAGTAAAATCATAAGAATAAATCTATCATGTACAACGTAATAAATAGTTGTAAAATTTTTGGTTTTCACAGCGGTGAGTATGAATATTTCCGTCTTCTGGGTTGTTGCGCTGTGTAGTCTGGTCGATGTTTACCAACTTTTCATCGCCCTGATGACGGAGGCAGTATGACCTCTGAAACGTTGGTAAACATAGATCAGACTACACAGCGCAACAACCCAGAAGACAGAAATCTTAATAAATAGTTCATAGTCAGAGCCAAAGGAGACGTGGTCAGACTCCGTGCCCTTGACATCACCTCTTATCCTGATTCAAGTTTTCACTAAAATTCGTCACCTTCTTTCCAGGTCACCCTTAAAATCTTGCACCACCTCGTTTCTGGAGTCACGTGCTCGCTACCGACTGGATAGCAACTTACCACCTGCTCTATACAGGGCTTCGATAAAAAACCTAACCGATGCTCTACGGAAGTAGGAATGGGAATTTGCCACACTGTCAGTGTTCCTTTCTGATCCGGGGTCATCATCAGTATGCGTCGTACCGCTCCTCGGATCATGCCAACAAATTTTCCGCGCTTCTCACCTTCGTCTTCAATTTTTTACGGGAGTTTCTTTTCTGTTTCTCAATTTGTTTTGCTCTTCCTGTCCCATATGCCTCACCCTGTGTAACTGTGTTTTTCAGATTGAAAAAAAAATTGATGGGGTACGTCTCAGCACTTTATCTTTTTTTCTTCGCTGGCTTTTCTTCCATCTCTCCCCTCTGCTAGATTTTTTACGCATCGAACAACACAATGTCAGACAACGTTGTTTAAATTCTCCCTAAAAGCCACGCTGTAACACAACAGCCTAGTCAAGACTTCTCTAGATATGACGTTTGTTCATGTAGATACTGCGCTATAGATAATTGTTAAGGAAAGTAATAAATGTGTTTCTATTATGGTTTAACAATTACAGTTGGGTGAGATTCCACATGAGTGTGTTCTCAGTGCCCGAATTTATAACTTGTATTGGGCAAGGCCGTGGCTTAGGCAACACGGAGTTTTCCTCCGGGGGCTTCCCCGGTTTCTCCGTGGCATCCCAACACACAGAAGAAGGCAATGGCAAACCACTTCTGGATCATCTGCCAAGAACGTATATGAACAGGTCCCAATCCGAGAAAAGGATGGAAGGAACCTGTTCATATGGATCTGTCGTCAGACAGAACACTTAAAAAACAAGTCTCCATTGTTAGTCAAAGAGCTTTATCGTCCTCATCTGCATTCTTATAAATTACCTTACCAGTAATTCAATTTAGATCTAATATCAGGGAGAAAATCTGACTGGGCAAACCGTTACTCGCAAGTCTCTGTGACCTCTTGCAATAGTTTGAATATAATAAACCATGTGATGTTCCCTGGACTCTTGCCATTGTCTGGAGTCACATCTCCGACGTTGTGGGGCTGCCTCTGCTTTCGGCTTCATGTTACAAACAGACCCATTCATACAGAATAGCTTCTTTTAATGGACATGCCACTATGTATTACCTCAACATTGTTTCTTTTTAGCTGAAGACAAAATGTTGCAGACCTAGCCTCAATTTCTGAAAACGAACAGTGTCCAAGAAACAGCATTGTACCAGACGGTTGCAACAAACCTTTCTAACTGCGAACTGTGTATTGTTCAGTCAAGTGGGTATGGCGTGCTGGCTGACACGTCATTCGTTCTTTTATTGTAGTGTGTATAACGTCTAAACAGGTCATGTCTGACCTACATCTCTAATGCAGTGTATGAGACGACTTCCGACAATGAAACCTGATGATGACGTGTCTATTAGAACTTCCCAGCTCTCGAAATTCCTCTATCTGTGCTAAGTTCTAATACAACAATGGGTTATTCTAATTATCATGATCATAAAAATTATTAATTTAATCCTCTTCGTAACTGATGTTTTGTCTTGCTGATACTATTTTTTTTTTAAAACCCTCCATCACATTCAAGTTTAATGTATTTGGTTCATATACAGAACAGGTCAGAAAGTCAGGAAATATTTGAAACTAAAACGATCACGAATCTGTTTTCCCCTTACAATTTAGGAATTAATTTAATTACTTTCCATGCCTGCCTTAAATATCTTACAAGGAACTAGTTAAAACCAGATTTTATTCAAGGGATAGACACTACCCCCCCCCCCCCCGTGCGGGAAATTCTTTAAAAAGTCTGCTGTACACTTGGCTTGTCAAATAATAGCCCACTTTATTTATAGAACCCGAAGGTTCATCATCGTGTTCACAAAAGCCCGCCACCGGACTCCGTCCTGAGCCACCTGCATCCAGTATGCTCCATGGATGCCTATCTCCCTAAGGTCCATCTTAATGTTATCCTCCCAACCAATACCATGTAAACACCCCTTCCCTCATCCTACACGTTTTAGTAACCCTAACAATATTGGGTGAGACTTTAGTTCTACTCTGTTAAACACTGTAATAAGGAAACACAATGAAGGAGTTACACTGACACGGTTGCTTATTTACTAAATCTTACAACTCGATCGAATATTGCCTACACTTGCACCAGTGACATTTTCGTATCTCACTTTAATAAATTTTATACGTTGTAGTTCTACACATCAGATAGGCTGCTATGGGAAATACGAAAGGGCAGTAAATTCTATTTAAATATCGGGTCAATGCTCCACGCGCCTTTAATGCAATGTAATAGCAAAGTGATCAGTATGATTTATTTTACTATTCTATGAA